AACAATATCAACTTATTTATAGTTCCCACTCCACCCCATGCTGTTTCTTCCCTCCTGCATGTACTTATTCTATTCTCTTTCCTTGGAATGCCAAATCTTGGCCCTAAATACCCTCTTTGCTCAATTAACTACTAATTGTTTTCTAGAAATGAGCTGAGGTGTCATCTCACACATCAGCCTTGGTTTGATACTCTTTCTAAATGCTCCCATAATCTTTTGCTCCTATTCTAATAGGTGTTACCAATCCATTTTATGACCATCTGTTAGTTCCTATAGGTAGATTTGTGGTTTTCTCATCTGTATATATATATTTTTTATATCTCTAATGTCTGTCATAATTACTAACACTAAATCTGGGTTTAATGCACATCTGAAGAATAATATAAAAGGAATGGTAGACATAGTCCTCCTTGTAATAATATAATTATAACTCAGTATATATATTGCAATATTTATAATTCAAGTATGAATTGGATTGAGTGGAATATAAAGCACAACTAGTCTATAATGGATTTTTTTTCTTAAAACAAATGCAAGAGTCAAGCTTTGGGGTTTTGAGGATGCTGGGCCTAAAATGAACCTGAAAGTTATGTCATATGGATCTAACTTCAGAATGCTTGCACTGGTGACTTATACTGTTCCCACAGACCTGCGATAGCTTGACACCTGGTACTCGCTTCTCCTACCCTTTCGTACAGTGCAGTGGGCGCCTAGGTGCATTGTCCTGGAGTAATCATTCAGCTTCATACGGTATTGGTTATCATTCCTTTGGGAGCAAAGAAATAGGGCCTTATCCATTGGTGGATTAGTGCTGGTTTTTGGTTTATTTGGGTGCATCACAAAGCCTCTTACAGAGAGAGATGCTTACTCTCTTCAAGTGACATACAAAAGCATCTCCTGATTATAAAATCTGATTAATCATTATAAATATATTAAAACATTGTTATGAAAAATAAAATGCTTGACTGACACATGAACAGAGCCTGAGTATCGAAAATCTCTGAAGTTAACAATAAGTTTACAGGTGTAACTATCTGAATGGTACCTTTCCCTGTCTCAGTAAGGCCTGGGAGTTTTCCCCCACCCATTATGATCTCAAGAGGCAGCCTTTGCTAATCCTAGAAAGCAGAGGAAGTTCGTATATTGTTTTTTGCCTGTTTGTACCTTGGAGGCCACTTCAGGGTCCTGCAGTTTCTCTTACAGTGGAGCAGCTTCACTCGTGAGCATTTCTGAATACCAGTGTTACACCACCTTGTGCCATGGTCTCCTGGTGTTCTGTTTCCTTCTGCCACCAGAGCCGTGAGGGATTGGTAGTGGTGGTGAGAGTGTGGGGCCGTGGGGTGGGAATAGACACAAGCCTGACTCCTGTTCCTTGCTTTGGAAGTTAATGTTATTTAGCTGACATAATGTTAAGATATTCTTACTTTTTCCATTTCTTCTATAATGAACAATGGTTAGTCATTTCCTACTAACCAAACATCTGATGGCAACATTTCTGGTGTGGTACCAGAAATGCTATTCCAAGGTCCACGCCTTATTGTCCTGGGCATGATCTCCTACCCATTCACCTAAATTTAAGATCAATCTTGGAGTATGATAAGGTAGAAAAGAAACTTTGTAATGCTCTTCATGTATATTTCTCAAATTTTTCCTGTGTGGATGGTTTAAAATGAAGATTATTTATTCAATTTTGTTTTTGGATTTTGTCCTCGTACCTTCCGTGACAGAGGCGCTTCCTTGATGCTAGTGGGATACACTAGGTAATAGTGCAGTAGTTAGTCCCACTTAGAAGACGAGCGCAAGTTTTCAGCTTGCTGCACATTTCCGCCTTCCAAAGCAGGAATTGTGTACATCGAAATCTGTATTGCCAGTTTAAATAGTCAAGTCATATGTGCATCAGAATTGGTATCTCTTGTGTGATGCAGCAGCACTTATATTGGATTGAAGTCTTTGGCATCTTGACTGCTGTATTGTAATTTCTCTGAATGTCCTAAGTCTTAGTAAAATACCTCAACGACAAGGACAACTCTTTCAGGTTAATTAGCTCCAAGGTCTTTGGAAACTTATTGAACTGGGCCACCATTGTGTTCTTGGACTCACTGTACTGTTCTCAAATAGCCGGTGCAACCTGACACCCTCAGGTTTTTGTCACCCTGGAGCCTTACACACCTTCATAATACCATGAATCTTTGAAAAAAGTCCTTAAAAGTTTAGATGTAGAATATATCATAAGAAGGAAGAGGCGGCTGTTGTAGGCCTGTCTCCTTTTGTCATATTTATCTTGATTTGCTGGATCTTAATAGTGATTGATTTCCATATGTTTCTAGAATAAGTTTGCACTCATACATACGTTATGTTTATATGGATGTTGACAATTGGAATCATGGCTATACTGATTAGCACTTTCAGAGTATAGTGGTCTGTACTCATCTGAATCTTACCAATTTTTTTCCTCATTTACCATAAGGCCACAGATCTCAGATATAAAGCATTTTTATATTAGCCCATTGTGATTTTCATCTTTTTGATAGAGGTTTAATAAAATAAAACTAAATCTGGCCTACAACTTGCTTTTTTAACTTTATAGAAACACAACACACCCATACTCTTATTATTGACTACAGTTGATTTCACTCTGTAAAGGTGGAGTTGAGTGGTTGCAACAAAGACCTTATGGACAGCAAAGCCTAAAATATTTGCTATCTAGCCCTTAACACACAAAATAATTGTTGATTCTTATCTTAGAGCATTGACCTTGTCAGAGAAATTTACTGGGTTACTTTCTAAATAGTTAGGAATTATACAGGTCTATATGATGATCTGATGTAGCTCAACTGTCTTCTATATTTCAGTTTGCTGCTGAGAAGTATAATGCAATTCTGATTTCTGATTCTTCCACGTGTTCTACCTTATTTCATTCTCTTTCCCCTCTGTCATACATAGACAACACATACACATACACTTTTCTCTATATGTTGAACACTTCATGGATGTTCTCTTTATTCCTTGGCTTCTTAAATTTTATGTTCCTCCATTAAATCCTTTCCACTCCTAGCCTGGCTCTCCTGACTTCCAACTTAAGCCTACATCTTGTATTCAGGACTTTGGGGTTTGTGCTTTGCACAAGAGTGCCTGGCAGTGGAGACAAATAGGGGATGGATTTGATTAATAGGTTGCACTTCTGTATGTGGAATCAGTACCTTGGCACAGAATTGATTCTACTCAGAGGAAGGGGAGACTTCTTCAAATTCACCCAAAGTTACAGTACAACTAGTGGCGTTTCCTCTTCAAACCTGAATTCATTATTTCCTCAGGAAAAACCCACTTCTCTACAGGAAATGGTGTGACCCCCTTTGACCTTCTCCTTTTTCACATATTATGTCCATAGGCCTGTAGTCTTGTGACAAACCTGGTCTCAATCAGTATTCTTAACATTTCATTGATGCTCAATCTCCAGGGTCTTGCTCATGAAAGAGACTATAAGCTCACAGTTGAGAGTAAACGCAGAGCTTCCAATTTGAGAATTTGAATTGGATTTTCATTTTTAACCTTCATGCCTATGAGAACTATAGCTCTATTTTGCATTACTTTCCACTATCTCTCAAAGGCATTTTTTTTCCTAGAAGAAAACAATCTAAATCTGTATGAAGCAAAGAGCCCTTTCCTTGCTAGCAAACCCAAGGTCCTGGTCTTAGAGACAATAGATATACTTACCTGTTGGAGTATTTGATACTTTGTGATCCAGTCAGATACAAAAGTCTTCTCTGTTAGAAACCCTGTGAATGGTTTTGTCCCAAATTAAATTCTGATTCTTAAATTCTAATTCAGAGTTTCCCCTGGATAGAAGTTTGAGGTTTTGCAATCCCTCCACCCACACCCACACCTAGAAACATATTAAGGCAAATAGAGTGTCACAGGCTTTAAGATCACATATGTTTAACTAAACATATGTTCCAACATTTACTATATTGTAGAAAAGTTCAATATTTCCTTATCCATTAAATGAGAACAATATATACCTAGTTATTGGGATTACGGATAAACTATGTACAATGTGTCTAGTATGTAGAAGATAGTAATTGGTAAATATTTTCAATAGTAGAATTCTCTTTGGTCAAATGTCTGTTGTCAGGGTGACATAATGTCAGAGAATGTATTGCTTAAATTTCAGTTTGAAACTTTAAGAATCTACATTTTTTTGTTTATTTCTAGAAAGAAATTTGAGAAAAAGTTTGTGGACAGACACAGTATCTGGCACATAGGGAGGAATTTGATCAGTGTGTGTAACCAGTGCCCCACTACTTCCTCTGGGGACCTTTAGACTAAACTGGCCATAAGACTAATGACACTCATTAGTAATAGTCATCATGACACCAAAATTTGCAAAAAGTTCTGGAAGGAGAACACTATCAGCCTCTAAATCTTACTTTGAATATCAATGTGACTCTTGTTCCACTGCAGTATGTGAAAGAATGAGACGTGAACAAATATATTTTAAGGATAGGAAAAGGGGGTGTGAAGAAAGTCTAGAGTAGCTGGGGAGGGCATTGCTTGTCCCCAATATTGGGGTGAAAGGAAGAAGAAACAGTAAAAATACTCTTACTAATTTTACAAATGCCAAATAATATATCTGATTTGGCTAAAAAAATACAAGAGCTTTTGGAAAGGAAGAAATTATATAACCTGATATCCCTTCTGTTGGCCTACAGAGGGTACTAATAGAGTTTTCCATGATCGATACTTAAAAATAAATGTGTTCTCTCTGTTTAACCCTCTAGCCATGAGCTTGCCTGTTCTGACTGACAATCTGTGGATGTTTAAAAACAAACTCCCACCCCTTTTGGTAGTTAACCAATTTCTGTTTATTAACCAGGCAGGCTTCTTTTCCTCTTTACAATAAAAGTAACTTACTTTTCAAGTTGACAACTTGCTTAAATCCTCAAAGGAAGTCCTGGAAGCCTGCAACCAAACATCTAATCCATTTGTTCTTTTGTTTACAGGTCACGAAAGAGGTGAGAATATTCAACCACTGTTAATTAGGCCAGTTTGCAATTTATTTTGCTTTTGGTCTAAGAAATACAAAACGCTGTGCTGGTGTGGAGTTCAGCATGACAGTGGGACAGAGCAGGTGAGCTGATGTTTGAGCTTCTAAAATACCTACTGACTCCCCTTTTGTCCGTTTGAATCAGCTGCGAGGGTAGGTAAGGGGAGGGAAGGCACTGAATGTTAGAACTGGAAAGAATGTGGGTTTCAACCTCAGAGTTATGCCAGCTGGTTAGCTTTTAAGCACATAAATATGTTGATAGGTAAATGTGCCTTTGAGCTGAATTACTGGGTTTGCAAGTAATCAATTTCCAAAGTTCCTTTTAACCCCTGTGAAAGTGAATTCTAAGAGAGATATAAAAAAGAATAATAAGAAAGGAACAAAATAAGGGGCAGAGTCTACTATAATTATTAAAAGCATAAGCTTTAAGGTCAGACAGCCCTGGCTTAATCCAGGTTCCATGTCTCACTTTTCTTGGGTAAACTACTTAATTTCTCTGAACTTCTGCTTTTCTTGTCTGAGCAGTAGAGGGAGATTATGCAGAACAACATGGGCACAAGCATTTCTGGTTCCATGGGGTGTAAATATAAAGTAAAATTCACTGGGGGAATTTACAGGCAAAGCAGCAGCTGATGCACCTAAGTCTCTAATTGCCCCAGCTGTCTTTCTCCCGCTACGAAGTGTGTTTAGGTCAGGCAGGACTAGAGACACCGTCCAAGTGTTATTAAGGTCTCATCCACCAAAGACCACTAGGAGCAGCCTGTAGCTACACGAAATTGAACTTGCTGACTTGAGGCAGTGGAGCTGGGGAATGCCAGCCTTCTCAAGAGGGAGGATGGACGTGTCTTTTATAAGGCTTGGGCTCCCTCGGAAGGATTCCAAAAGGGGTGTAGGGAAGTGGAAAATGAAAACAAAGCTATATGGAGCAGCATTGTTCAATAATCACTCAAAGGGTTGCTATGGAATTTGAGAACTGCAGGATATTGGGAGAATCAATATTTCTGTTTAAGTTTACAGCTGGCCTTATCAGCGTCTGTCCTCCCAGCTTGATTAAGAGCAAAAGTATTATTTTCTTTGTTTTCTTTTTCAGTTCAAACTTATTTTCACTCTTTTAGTCCCAGTCATTTTATTCTTTTGGGAGAGAGATTCTTAACCCCTATCACATTACATATATTTCTGAGTTGTCAATAGCTCTCCTCCCCAGAAAACACCAGAATAGCATGTGTATGACATAAAGCAGAGTTTGATACTTACTGCAGCAGGATAGCACCATGCTGGCAGAGGCTCAGAATGGGAGGGGGGTAGGTGCAGATATCTAGAGGGTTCTGAGCTCAAGTGATAGAAGGCTGATCTTTAAATTCAGGATTCTGATTGCAACCGGGAAAAACTGTGATGTGAAAGTATAAAATTGGAAAACACAGGCAAGTGAGGGTCCTGAAGTCAATCTTTATAAGTTAACAGTGGTTTGATAAGCAAGGAACTTGCCCCATTAAACAATCTATAATTCTGAGAAGGGGACTGTTTACCTAGGTGGGCAATTAATTTTGCTGAGAAGGCAGCTGGTTGTATCTATTGTTTGTATCAGTGAATTCTGAAGAAGTTCTAGAAACAATAGGTCAAGTTATTTATTGGTTTACAGATTTATCTTCCTGGGCAAGAATTTCCTGGAATAAGTAATAAATTCCGTTGATGCAGGTGGCTTCAATTCTCAAGGCTAAGTTGAGAGTGGGAGGAAATACTCAGTGTGTCACTATTGGGCTCCTTTGCCAAAAAATAATGTAGAGAAGCCTTCAGGGGAGTTTGCATATAGTCCCAGTTATCATCAAGAGACATTGCTGTTCATAGGTAGAAAGGGGCCACCACCATGTGAGACACAGGTTTGTTTCTTCTCATAAGGTATTAATACTATCTCACAGGATGGCTGTATTCAATGGGAGATGTACAATTTATTCATGCAGCACATTTATTGTAAATGTTCAATAAATTGTCCTTTTTGTTGTTATTATCATTAGAAATAGTACCTACATGGGTTATCAAAGTTATCAATTAGGAAGTGTGTTCAGTCAGAGTTGTTTGTACTTCTTCCAAATAAACATGAGAAGATTCCCTCATGTTTATTTGGAAGACTTTAAGACTGTCTCATTAATATGTGTCTTTCCATTTTCCTCAGGAAAACCTTGAGAATGGCAGTGCTTGGAAACAAGGAGCCGAATCTGTCTTACAGAATGGACTCAGGCGAGAAAGCCTGGTCCATGTTCCCGGCTATGATCCCAAGGACAAAAGCTACAACAATATGGCGTTCCAGATTACTCCTTTCTAAGAAAACACACGTGTGCGTGTGCACACGCGCACACACACACACATGCACACACACAAGTACCCCACATACTTCTTGCCTATTTGTTAGTACACTTGTGCAGTTGCTGTTGCTAGAAGACAAGGATGTCCAGTGTCTATTTATACTTATTTATAACTACAAACAAAATGACTGCTTCTCAGGATATTCTTTGAAAAACCCCAAGTTTCAGGTGACAATAAATGCTAGACCCTAACATTCCTATTTCCTTCTTGAATAAATTAGGACTAGATTTCATCACCGTGCAAAGAATCAAATCTCTTTGCTTCGTGTCTTATTAAACTTCAGGTTTTTCATTTTGATAGTTTTTTAAGCATCAAAATATATTCGGAGTTTAGAGGCAGATGGGGAAGAGGAATATGCATGTTAAATGTTCCTCTGCCACTGTTGATAAAACAGGTGAATGGCATGCACCCCCAACACCATACCTCACACATACGTAGACACATTTCAGGCCACCTGCCACCCTCCCCCATCCAGCAGCTGCAACTGGAACACTTAACTGCTACTAACATTGCCTTACTGCTACCGGTCAGCTCTCTTCCAGTCATTACCTGTCCTGACCAATCATTAAAAATAATTCTGCTAGGCATATAAGGAGAGACTGGTGTGTCTGGTTAGTGGGAGCAAATATAAATAAAACTCTGCTCCCGTTGTGCTGTTAGTGTAGTATATTTTGTCCCTTCACTTTGAAATGAAAAATTGACTCTGTTCAATAAGAAGTCTGGAGCATTTCTCCAGGCCGGGTAAAGATGGAAGAAATGACCTACAGAAGGTTGTTAGGATAGCACTGCATAAAAGAAACTTGAAAATAGCTTACCAGTCCATAGGAGATTTCCTCAGCCATAGCATTCTTCTTTGGTGCAAAATACATTGCCATAGGACTTATAGTCTGCTCATTCAGCTCATGTCTGCAAGCTCAACTCACTGCTTTAGGCGCAGGTGACAGAAGTAAAGTTCTGAACAGTTAAACTCTAGAAAGTAATTCTTAAAGTTCTGGAGCAAGCGGGTGTTACAAATCAAAAATACTGAAAAGAACCAAGACCACCAGGTTTGGGTTAGTGGACAGAAAATAAGAAACAAAACCACTGTTTGGAAGTCAATATATTATGACAGATGTCAAATATAGATAGGAGTAAGAGGCCTAGAAAAGTATGTCAGCAAAGTAAGAAGAAGTGCTCCACACAGGCAAGAGTTAAGAGTTCCAAAGGCTATGTTGTGTAAAGGCTATGTTGTGTTACTCAGGAAGAGAAGCCTTAAAAGAAACATGAGATAGAGAAAAATTTATATCACCAGTGTTTATTATTGGATAGAGAAGATAGAAAGAGGGAATAATCAATAGAGGAATTAAAACAAACAAACTTGAGTTTATATACCAGGGCCCAATACTTGCCTTCTCTCTCTCCACTCTCAAATAGGAGAGGAGAATAGAGGGAGAGCGAGAAAGAATTGGACTGTGGTTTATAAAGAGAGATGGCAAAACACACATTTAAGATAAGAAGGAAAGAAGTAAAATGAGAATACATTTGGAGAAATGTCTCAAAATGAGAAGGAACAGAATTTCTAGAAATACTTTTTTTGTAAGTCCAGAAGAATTTATTAAGCTGTTGTTGTAAGGATTTGCAAATTGATAGGTTCAATTATTTTCTAAATGATTCTAGACATTCCTATGAATTTATATCAGGTGAATATTGAAATCTGGGCCCAACCTAACTGACTTAGTTAATACCTTATGATAGGGAAGGGAAGAAAAACAAACAAGCAAACAAGAGCAACCCTTAGGATGAGAATTAGATTAAGAGTAGGCATTAGATATGTATGTATATATTTATATGTGTGTGTACATTATGTATATATATATGATTTGGAAAACATTTCAAAATTGTGAACTTTCACTTGGAATTATACAAAAATAAAATATGTGATATAGTTTTGCGTTTCACTCATAAATTATCCTAAAATCATTTTACTATGTCAAAACTCTCCCCAGAGAGTTTTTTAGGATTCTTATTCTTTTTTAGTCCCCAATTCTCTTACCTGGAATGTTATCAAAATGCCATACAACTGGAACATACTAATATTATCATAAAGATGGTTTTGTCTTCTTTTGCGTAATGAAATCTATAGTATTAGGAAGTGACATTTCAAGAGATTTTAAAGGTCAGTATAGAGATTCCTTCCATTCTTCTTAATTGCGCAAACATGAAAATATCCAAGGCTCAAGTAGAGAGCAGATGGGAATCCACAGGAAAACTGTCTTCCACAGTGTATAAAAACCGTGTTCACTGTGTGGGAAGCAGAAGGGGACTGTGAAGTGCAGAGTTGATAGAGTCGGCTAGCTGGTGACAGCATTCTGCTCCTACCCTCACCCTTCCCTAGGAATGGCAGCTCAGAGTTGTGTCAAGACTGTCCAGTGCCGAGTTCAATCCGTGCCATGGAAGTGGGCTAAACTTATGGCTGTTTATTGAGATATTCTGTATAAATGGCACTATGAATGATGAGTTGCTATAATGGCCTAAAATGTGCCAAACTTGATGCCAACCTCTGGACTTTAAAGCACAATCCCAAATATTGGTAAAAATGGGACAGAATTGCCTCAATGTCTCTTTCACTCAATCTGAATAAACACATTTTGATGTATGACTTTCTCTTTGTCACCATTTGAAGCAAGAAGTCCAACAGCTATTGATTGAGGTGAGCGATTGGAGTCCAATGACTTAGGGGCAAACATAAGTTCTGACACAAATCTAGGTTATTTGGAGCAAGACTTTTTAAACCTTAGTTTATTCACCAATTAAAAGGATTAAAAACTTTCCCTACTTAATAGGGTTATTATGAGGATTTACAGAGGTAAATCATAGAAAGTGCTTAGCAAAGTGACTGGCTAACACTGAGTCTTAGCAAAGAACTGGCAGACTCAGTTCTTAGTCTGCAATATAGGAAGAATATTGTTTATTTTAACTTGAATCGTTTCACTGTTTCTCTTCAGGATTTCCAAGACATTAGCTTTGAACAAGTATTGCTGTACTACTTTGAGAATTAGAAATAACAAGATAAACAGAAGTATAATTTAAAAGTCATGGCATAAATATCCAAACAGTAGCTTTTTTATGCCAGAGTTTAAGTAAAATATTATTTTCCAGAGAGTAACTTTTCTAAAGGTCCTAAGTTCTTGAAAAAAAAGAGAACTACTGTTATAAAGGTAGACAAGTTTCTTACTGAAAATGCAATATTTGTATCTATAATTTATTATTACATTTGCACATGTAAGCCTTGATAAACAGCATCTCAACCTAATTTATGATTCAATGCACAATTCAAAGCAACTATGATTCTCTAAACAGCACAGAAGGGTAGCTTTTCCCTCTGTTTAATTTAAATAATATTGTTAAATATGAATTTTACTATTTTGTGGCTTTATAGGGTTATACTATTTCATTCTAAAGAGAAACAAACAACAACAAAAAACTATAGGCCGCATCCTTTTCAAACAGTATTTAAAAGATAATGTTATTCAAATATATTTATGCTGTTATAATCTTAATCAAATATTATTACTAAAATGAGAAATAGAAAAAATAGAGGAGCCTCCCTTTAATAATTCCCTTAGAAATAAATTGTTTTAAAATATTATAGAAATTATAGCTATATATATAGATACATTTGTATATTTAAAAGTCTAATATGCTTAATCTCATATTGCAAAGATTTAGTGTAGTTAACCACTTTTATCCAGCATTAATAAACTTGTAGTATAACCTATTTCCAAAAACCTAAAATTCAACTGATATTATCAATAGTACACATTAAAATGGTATAAAACTATAATCAAATATAATTCATCATCAATAGTAAATCATCTAATGGGTTATTTTTAATTTATAATTCTTATAAAGAGTTAATACTATAATTTCCTCTCCCACCCCAATCTCTTGAGCAAATCAATGTAGATTTGCAAACACCTATGGAAATAACAGTCACAAACCCGCTTTTCCAATACTGCATTGTTGTGTTTGAAATAGCCATCTTCAGAAGACAGTTAAAGCTTATAAATATTTGACTTCTCAAATGTCAGGACCTCATTACAAATTAGAAAAATGATCTTACGCTGTGGAGGAAGATGTTCATTGATAATGATATTTCTGTCTATCGGTAGGAAATATAAAATGTTTTTATATTTCTAAAATTTTATGCAGCTTTTTAATTTTAGGGTCCTGGAATACATTTAAATTTAATGTTGTGTTTATAAAACTAGTTAATATTAAGAAAAATGCCTGTAAATGAAAACAGATTATAATTATGACATACAATTATTTTATTTCTTTGAAAAATAAGTTCTGATTGAAGTACATTGGAATTATCAATGTGAATATTCTCTACGGGGTTAGGAGTGGGATGGAAAGATAGTCACCTATCCTAAAATCTTTTATATAAACCTTATAGATTAAGGCAAATTTACCAAATGACCAAGTAATCATATGTCAAAATAAGGTTTTCTATATTATATGATAGGATTTCCTTTTTAGTGTTTTGGATAATGCCTGCAATGGTTGGTCTACCCAGGGTTTAAGACACACACACATACACACACAAAAGAAGTAAACATATCAAGAGTTTTATAACTTAATAAAATAGGTTACTATAAATCAAGAAAGGTAATATATAATGGTGATATCTTTTGCAGACCTTAACCTATGTGTCCTCAAGAATTTTCAGAAACAATTCATCTGTCTTAAGATGTTAAAGCAAGGGTGTGCACAGGTGTTTAGAACACCTGGTCTCAATTATAGAATCTGCTTTTGTCACATTTTAAAAGGCTAAGAATAATTTCTTGTGGTTTATTTATTTAACACCCTAATGTGATTTCCATGTAAGAAAATAAATGAGCAATCCCCAAAATTGCTTATTAGTAGCAGTATAATATAGTCAGGCTGAATTTATAGGCAATTGGGCAATGTTATTAACTGATTTGAAATATATATTATAAAGGTTTATGCATCTTACTGTTCACCAATTTCAAGAATGCTGACCTATAGGTCACCTTCATATAACTTGATTCAGTCTATTTTAACAGAGCAAAGCTTCCTTAAATTGGTTTTAAAATTTCTCGAGACTTTGGAAGGAATGTTTAATAAATAACAATACTCAACACACAGTATATTTTTTTTCAGATTTACAGAGGAGCTGTATAAAGTAAAAAGAAAAATAAAATCAATATTTATAACCATCTGTCTAAATATATGGCTGCAACATAATTTCTCCCATTGAGAAATCCACTCTATCTCTCTGGTCAGCCTCAAATTTCTTTTTCAATTATAGGACTCTAATAAGTCTTTCTTACCTAAAAAACACAATATAGAGGCCAGTGGATGCAAATCCTAGGAAGATAGAATTGCATAACCTTTTAAGTGCATTTTCATTTTCAGCACTGAAAATTAGGATGTTTATTCTTTGGCCAGAGTTGTCACATAAATCAAAGCTTACTAGATTTAGCTTTATGAATCTTAACATAGACAAAGAAAAAAAAGAAGGGGAAAAAAACCCTTTTATTTCTTCTGAGGGTTAAAGGATGACCTAAATTGCAGTTTGTTTCATTGACAAAATGACTGTAATGGTACTAAGGCAGCTTGTGTACCACGTGGGGCTTTTTCCATAGAGAATAAACTAAGATGGGAAAGTATTCTGAGAAAGTCAATACAGGCAAGTCTATGCTTCAAAAATCTCACTCTCTTCTTTCTTAGGAAAAGATGTAAAGTAGCATCTATACAATTGACTGTTTAGTACAAGCAAAATGCCCACATCAGGACAGCTGAACGTGGAACAAGAGGCTTTCTCTAAAGGGAATTGTACAGAAGGACACACTGATAAAGTCATAAAGCAGTAAGATCGAATTTATAGATGACTTTTCCTTGAGGGTAGACTTTTATGGTACCAGAAATTGGCTCTGGTCTCAAATATGAGAATCTTTTCTACCGACCTGTCTGCTTTCATTTTAACTTTCTGAAAAAGATGCCTTAATGTGGATGTGACTAGAACACTGGTAATGGGTGTGGTTTTTCAGATTAAGCTGGATAGCAAGTTCAACTGAAGGTAATTTATTACCACTAAAGAACATCAATCCTAGCTAGCAGGAACCTGGGCTAATCAATGATTCAAGCTAAAGCTCAATTAATCTCTCCTTTGAAATATGTATTGCTGGCATATTTCATTTTAAATAGAAATGCCTATAGGAAAATACTTGCCTTTCCATCAGAAATTATTTTTTGGTTGTTTGTTTGTTTTCTTTTTTCAGTCCATTCCTAAAAGATTCTCTTCTGAACTGCCATGAATATCAGGAGTGAGATAAAATGTTAACTGATTCCCTGGAGAAACCCTATCCCCAGAGCTTATCATACTGTAATTTTGGGGAAAATGAAGTGGAAATATCTGATCACCATAGTAAGACTGAATTGGGCGTATCTCACAGACAGTAAGTGCTCCCTGATACCCAAAACATATGACCACTGTATGAACACACACACATTCTGGGCCTATGTTTACCTGCCCCCAATTGACAGACTAGTCAATCCAGCCATATCAGTTAATCAACACTTCAGGTAACCTGGATTTTCAACTTTGACCATCAAGACAAAAAAAAAAAAAAAGAAAGAAAGAAAATGGGTATGTTGGTAGCCTCTTGCTGACAGTGGGCTGTGATGCACCTGCATGTCCTCCCTTCCTTGGCATGGGCTGTATTGGCACTAAAATTCCTGTCCCAAGGAGATTTTGATGGTGATTGCCAGAGCCAGCATAAGTGTGAAAAAGGAAAGTGCTTTTGTGTGGAGGAAGCATTATTACCCTCACAAGAACCAAACAAGCTTCCTCTCCCATCTGTTTCTAACAGAAAGTATTATTAGGATCAGCATGATATACTGGCTGCACTTTAATGTGCAAATGCCTTGAAGACAACAATGATCTTAGAAGAAAAACAGTCAAAATATTTTCAGGGTGGGGTAAGGGCCTGCAATAATAAGAAACTGTTACCTTGTAGAGCTGAAGAATGAGTAATTCCTCCCTCCCTGTACACTCTCAGCAGATCCTAATTTAATATTTATAAAGCAAGCAGAATTAAATGTAACATGCAAATGATAGAAAAAAATACCATATCAAATGATAATTTATTGAGTGAAAAAGTTTCCTATTCATTCCATTGTACAATAAATTGTGCCAAGAGTCATTCTGGAAGAATGTGCAACATTCAAAAGTTGTATCTCATCATGCAGTCACTCAGCAACATTTTATCTAAAAGTGCGTGCACAGACTCAGACAGTTACAAACGATTTCAGCTATGATCTAGAGTGATTTTCCATACACTGTACTGTGAAAGCTCTTCAGCTTGGAACAGCTTGTCAAGGCAGACTGCATGCACATACATATTAGTTGTGTACATATTTGCTTGAGTAGACAAGTTAGAATATGAAAATATATAAGCAGCATTCATGTAATACAGAATTCCTGAGAATTGTGTGCTATAAATCTTTGAGAAATAATTTGTATTCATATAAAAACCATGATATAAAACATTTCTCTCAACTGAAGCAGAGTGATCTAAAACTAACCTACTGTGAGGAGCTGTTAGGATTTTACTATCAATGATTATGCAGGCATAGCTAGATTCTATTGCACGGTTTCACAAAAGAAACATTTCAGGTAATTTTTTTTCTTTTCTTCATATCTGTTTTGAAATTTCAGAGAAGGCATTGTCTAAATCAATATTCTATAATTTTCTAATTAAAG